GGGCCCCTGCACCCATGTGGGAGACCCAGAAGAAGCTCCTGGCTCCTGGCTTTGGATTGGCCCAACTACGGCCGTTGTGACCAATTGGGGAGTGAACCAGCGGATGGAAGACCTCTCTTTCTCTCTCTTTGTCTGTCTGTCTCTCTTTGTGTAACTCTTTCAAATAAATAAATAAATCTTTAAACAAACAAAAAAGAGAAATGGAGTAAAACATCAAAGCCATCTCTATGTCTCTGTCCATCTGGTAAACTCTATGCAGCTTGTCAACTTTTGCAGTCTGTGTGATGTACGGGTCACAGCTTTACGCATCAATCTTACCTTGACTGTAATTTTCCTTAGGCTCAGTAGTCCCCAATTTTTGATATAGTCTAAACCCATTCTTTGATTTTAATAGATTTTGTCTTTTAGAGTCGTTTTAAGTTCACAGAAAAACTGAGAGGAAGGCACAGACATGTCTCACGTTCTTCCGGTCCCTCCCTCCTGCCCCTCATTAACAACACCCTACCCCAGGGGTGCATTTGCTCTGGTAAACACACTGACCTGACACCTCTTTCTCCACAGTGTGCGTTAGGGGTCCTTCTTGCTGTTGTACATTCTGTGGACTTGGATGAAAGTGTGCTGACAGGTATCGTCCACCATGGTGCCATCCAGATCATTTTCACGTTCCCATGAACCCTCTGTGTGCCACCTGGTAATCCTTGTTTCCCACCCACCCAAGATCTTGGTGTGATCTCTGCAGCTTTGTCTTTTCCCACGGAATGTTGAACAGAGTCTTTTTCTAGGTCAGCGTTTTTGCACATAGCAATGTGCATTCCAGGTTCCTCTTTGTCTTCCTATGGCTCCATCTCTCACTTCCGTTGGGTGCTGAGCAGTAGTCTGCTGTCTGGGTATTGCAGTTTCTTCACTCATTCATCTACTGCAGAGCATCTGGGTTGCTTCCAAGTGGTGGCAATCACAAACAAAGCTTCCCTTCACATCCAGGTGCAGGTTTTTGTGCGGACATCAATTTCCAGCTCATTGGAGTAAATATCAAGAAATAGGAATGTTGCGTCGTATGGCCAGCCTACTAACTTTTGTCCTAGATCTTTCAGATCTTGCCACATGCCCTGTTGTTGTCTTGTGTTCAGGTGTTTTGTCACTTGTGTGGTCGCCCACCCCCAGTCCTCCACCTGTGCTAAGATGGGTTTCATCACACTGATGTGGGCGCTGGAAGAGTAGCGTCTGCTATAGCATGCGTGGCTGTGTCATTAAGAAAGGCTGGGCATGCCCACTCATCAATTCCGTCCCTCAGAAAGCACTGGCTACGTCCCAAGCAGTCATATAGAGTGTCTGATGCTCTTCCCCATCCAGGGAAAACATGTTTTCTGTCCTCTTCGCACTTGAACTTTCCACAACCTTGTAGCCCCCCATTCACCTGCTGCCCCTGGGAGTCCCAGCCTGAAAACTCACACACATTGCAGCATATCCTCTGCACCCCCAATCTCAGCAGGGCACTGAACCCAGACTTTGGCTTTTCCTGGTGACAATGGAAGATTACAATATAGAAAAGCTACTTTCAAATGCTTTTATCATGCTGGAGAAAATGTGCCCACAATTTTGGGGTCCTTTTCACTTGAAGGGAAGCACCTGCTACCTGTTTCATTTTTGACAAAATCCATTCATATTTGAGTGAAGGGCAATGTTGCTCAGTGCTCTAAAGCCAATCATGCCTTTTGGCTTTGAAGAATAACAAGACCAAATTGGCTCCCTATTCACTGGAGCAAAGAGGCTGCCTCCGGGTCCCGGCTCCACAAGGAAACTGCTGATAAGCCCTTTCTCCTGGATCCATGCCCCTCGCCGGAGATTCGGAGCACCTTCTAAGACAGCAGAGCGAAGGTGGCTCCGTTATCAAAGAGCTCCTCCCACACTGAGTGTGCAATGCCTGG